GTATGTGCATGTGTGTGGCAGCCAAATGACAGCCTCAAGCATTTCTCAGGTGCTGTCAACCATTTTTTTGAGATGGAGTCTCTTATGTACTGGAACTTACGAAGTAGACTAGGCTTACTAGGCAGTGAGTGTCAGGGCTTCACCTGTCTCTGTCTTCCCAGAACTGGGATTCCAAGCATGGGCCACTACTGTTTTCTTTTATGTGGGTTCTAGAGATAAAACTCATGTTTTATGCTTGCTTTGTAAATATGATTCCAACTGAGCTGTCTCTCTAGTTCCCATTTTCAATTCTGATGTCACAGTTAAATCATTGTATTCCATTCAGCATCGGTAAAAACACCTGAAATGAGAGTTTTTTGGCTGCCAGTAGAAGCTACAGAAATGTTCTTTAGACTAGGTGACCAAGTTAAAATGACTGTTAAAACTGTAGTTATTATCACAGCAAGTAATATTTATGGAAAAATAACTTTGGGGAGAGAGAGGGAGAGGGAGAAGGGGAAGGGGAGGCAGAGGAGGAGGGGGAGGGGAGGGGAAGGGGAGGGAGCGAGAAGGAGAGACAGAGGGAGATGGGGGAGGGGGAGAGAGGGAGAGGGAAAGAGGGAGAGAGGGAGAGGGAAAGAGGGAGAGAGGGAGATGGAGAGGGAGAGGAAGAGGGAAGAGAGGAAGGAGAGGGAAGAGAGGAAGAGGGAGGGAGAGAAGGAGAGACAGAGAGAGAATGAATATGAATGTAACAAATTGATTTTCCTTGTAAACTTTAGGATTATTCTATTTCCTTCTACCCCTACCTTGCTTTCTTTGTGATGCTGGGGGAGGGACCTAATCAATTTTAACTACCAGAAACCAAAAGCAAATGTTAACCATGAGGCAGTAACATTCTCTTCAAAGAAGGAAGTTAAAAGAATTCTCATTCTGTCTTAAACGCCAGCACTAGCTTTTTAAATATTTTATTTATTATTTTTACCCATGTTGTGAAATGTCCATGGAGGTCAGAAGAGGGTATCAGTTCCATCTACTGAGTTCTATTCAGCCTATCTGGAGTCCCTCATTTTAGGAAGATCAGCTCTCCTTCACTTAGCAGCAATCAGTTGCCAATATTTCTTCAAATAAGATAGGGGTCTGCCGTTCATTTTCCCAGTTATATGTTGGGTTTTTGTCTGCCTGAGTTTGCATGGGACAGTGTATGCTGACACCATGGCCACAGAATCGTATCAGCAGGTTCCTAGCAGCTTGTAGGACTCTGTTTCTATATGGTTGTGCTGGATAGCTTTAGTGTCAACTTGACACACCTGGGTTGAGGGAGCCTCAATCGGGGAATTGTCTCTATTGGACTGGCCTGTGGCCATGTCTGAAGGGCATCTTCTTGATGAGTGATGTGGGAGGGCCCAGCCCACTGTGGGTGGTGCCACCCCTGGGCAGGTGGGCCTGTGTTGCATAAGAAAGCAGGCTGAGCAGGAGCCAAGGGAGCAAGCCTGTAAGCAGCGTTCCTCCATGGCCTGTGCTCCAGCTCCTGCCTCCCAGTTCCTGCCCTGAGTTCCTACCTTGGGCTCCCTGATGAACTGTGTGCAACCTGGGAGATGTAAGACAAATAAACCCTTTCCTCCCCAAGTTGGTACTGGTCAGAGTGTTCTGTCACAGCAATGAAGAACAAACTAAGACTAATGGTCATGCACCTCTCTGGCTCTTATAGTCTTTCCACCTCCTCCGCTGCAAAGGTCCCTGAGCCTTGGGTGTCTGAAGTTTAATATAGGAGTCCTGGTATTTAATATAGGGACCAGCATTCAGAAGACTCTTGATCTCTATGCTTTGGCTATTTGTGATGTACTGTGTTCCTGGCCCTCTGCTGCATAAGGGACCTTCATTGATGGACATAACACTTTCTGAATATAAAGTCTTAGAATCTGTTAGAATGTAATCCAGGGCCATCTGGTTGAAATTTGGTTCAACCTATAAAATTCTTGAAAATTGAATGTGGTTTTAACTCCCTGTCATTTATAAAGTTTATCTCTTACAACCTAGTTCACTATATCTTTAACTCTAATTGTTAGAATGTCAGCACTTAACACATTATGACCAAAATCACCTTCTTTTATCTTTTCCTTATTGGCTCTCATTTTTTAATCTCCCTAGCAAAGCAGGTCAAATAAAGCAAAGCAAAACATAAATTAGCCAAATTTTATCTTCAATCTATATGAACAGTCAGTTGTATCTTTAACAAATCTGTTGTCTAACTGCTAACTTGTTTTTTTAGGCCAAATCCTAGTTCTAAATGTGTTAGTGTTTTGCGCTCCCATTCTGGTTGTGATTTCCAACTTAAGCAAAATATCCAGATATGGGAATTGCATTTTTTATTCATAAATTTATCAAAATAGCCCTAAATAGGTTTCATAACTTTCTTGAAAAGGTGAAAATGGAGTAGCAAACTAAAACAACAACAACAACAAATCCAACAGGGGCTGGAGATGGCTCAGGAGTTTAGAGTACTGACTATTCTTGCAGAGGACCTAGTTTGAGTTCCCAACACCCACATGGCAGCTAACAACCATCTCTAACTCCAGTTCCTGGGTATCTGATACCCTCTTGTGGCCTTCATGGGCACTGCATGACATAGGTGCACTTACATACGTGCGAGCAATACACTCATACATATAAAATAAAAATAAAAACAAAGAAAATAAAGTTAAAAAGCAGCAAAGGCCACCACGAACCCCTGCTACATATATGAGTAATTAGTATAAGAGGCATAATTTTCCCAGTATAATTCTTAAATTGTAACAAGTTATAAACTGTCAAATCGAGATTCAAGCCTCTAGTCAAAAATAGAAATACCGTGTGGAAGAGGTTGGTGGAAACAATGTAAGAGCCAGAGGAAGGGGTAGAGTGTTACCTGGAAGTGTCCTCCGATGACTATGCTGGCAAGCTATAGTCACACCTCATTCCCAGGCTCATCAAGGAGTCAGGGTGGAGGGGGGAGTCAGTAATCCCTCCTACCCAATCAGTTGACCTTAGCTACATGAGGGGAGAAGCTAAGGATATATAAGCCAAGAAGTCCATGAGGTACCTTTCTCACCATTTTGTATGGCTGTTGGGTAGTCAAGGATCTATGTTTGAATGTGGACTTTCCAATGCAGCCGTAAATGTGGGGGGACTCCCTCTCTTCTGTAAGTAACCCCCCACCCTATGCTCTATTAGCAAGCCCAATAAACATGTTAGGATTTTAAAAAATGATGAAACTAGTTGTGGTGGTTTGAATGAAAATGTCCCCCATAGGCTCCAAGTGTTTGGACATTTTGTCCCCAGATGATGGCACTCTTTTGGGAGGCTTTAAAAGGTGTGGCTATCCTGGAGGAAGCATGTCACTGGGAGTGGGCTTAGAGAGTTCTTAAGCCTTGCCAGATCTCCAGTCGCCCTCTTGTTTGCTTCCTGTGCCTGCGAGATGATGTGAGAAACTAGCTTCTGCTCTTCTTCCAGCCACCTCTGCCACCATGCCTCCCTGCCAAAATGGACTGTAATTCCCCTGGAACTGTAAGCTCAAAATAAACTCTTCCTTCTATAAATTGCTTGGGTCAGTGTTTCTATCACAGCAACAGAAAAGTTACTAATACCCTAGTGCATCCCTCAAATCTCACCAGGGAAAACTCCTTATACAACAGAACGGGATGTACAGAGGGAGCCACAACTGGCCAACTTTTAAGGAATAAGAGACTGCAGAGTGTGTGTCCCTGGATAGAACCCAACACCCACAGCTTAGGGACCACTGTAGAAGAGGGGGCAGAAAGAATGTTAAGAGCCAGGGTTGATCCATGAACATAGGGAAGCTGAGGCTCTCAGGCCACTGGAAGCTTGCACATATAAACTTATGGCAATGATGATATCAAGCACAGGACTCATGCCAACTCAATCAGACAAGGTCCCAGAGTGGAGCAAGGGAAATGGGTGGCAGGTCGGGAATTATTGGAGACTGATCACTACTAGGTGAGGGAGAGGAGGCAATACCAATGATCTCTAGATAGGCTGACTAGACTCCAGTGTATGAATTTGCCCTGAAGGACATCTGGGTACAAATGCTTGACTGGATAGGACTTAACATGTATAGCAGAATACATGAAGCTCAGTGGGGGAGTAGGGGTGGGGGAGTACAGATGGGTGAGGGGTCTAAATTTAATTAAGAACTGTTGAATGACATGTACAAAAACTCAGTAAAAAAAATTTTTTTTTTTTTGAGACAGGATCTCCTTGTATCCCCAGCTGTCCTGGAATTCATTATGTAGACCAGGCTGGCCTCTAGCTCACAAAGATCTGCCTGCCTCTGCCTCCCAAATGCTGGGATTAAAGGTGTGCACCATCACGCCCGGCAGTAAAAAAATTTTTAAAGAAAAAAAAAAAACAGAAAAAGAATATCAACTCTTCTTCATCCAGCAGCAATCACCAATAGTTCCAAGGGAATTCACTAGAAGGGACAATTTTGAAATGCACATGAAATCACATATAGGAGTCCTGTCCAGGGACATGCATTCTGCATTCTTTTATTGTCTACACTTTGGCCAGTTGTGGCCTTCTGTGTTCATTGCACTCTGTTGCATGAGGAAGCTGGTGAGAGTTAGAGATGCATTAGTTTTCTCTCTACCCCCTGGTCCACTATGTTCCACGGGCCTTAGGTGTAGGGGTTCCATTGTAGATGTGTCACTTATGGCATCTCTCAGATATATATTTTTTTGTGTGTGACTAGGTGTGGAACTCTGTAACAGCTAATTGAACTTAAAGTCCTCTCAGTGGGAGGGAACTCATGAGTGGCACTGTAAGCATAGCTAAATACACATAACTGGTAAAGAGAGCAAGACTTGAGAAGCCAAAATTGTCATCCTCTGGGCTATATAGCAAATGTTCAGTAAACACTGTGTGCTGAGTGAAAAAAAATTGTAATATTTATTATGCAAGTGCTTTACTAAAATTATAAACTTTTATTACTTTAGAAATAAATTCTAGAAAAATATATTCATTACCTTCCTGGGTTAAATAATGCATGTTTTTTGCAATTACAGCACTCTTATCTTGTGAGTCCAAGAAAGAGAAAGTAGAGAAATCTTCAATATCAGCAGTTACTGAAAAATTTCATAATAAATGTTCAATAATGAATTACTGAAACAATCACAATAAGCATTTGTAGAACAGTAAAAGGATGGTTATTTTACCTGATGAAGGTATTAGATTAAGGTGCTGTGGTTCAGCGTGCAAAATCGAAGGATTTATACGGGGTACAACATTATTCTTACTCATAAGGAAATCAACTGCATTGAGTCTATCATTTAATGTTCCCTACAATAAAAAAAACATTACTTTAAATATACGAGCAATTTATATACATATTATTAAATTATACAGATAACATATGTAAAGATATTTTTAAGAATATTTTATTTTTTAAATTTTATGTGTATGAGTGTATTGCCTACATGTATGTAATTGCACCCATATCATGAAATGCCTATGGAGATCAGAAAAGGGTATCAGATGCCTGGAACTGAAGTTATGGACAGTTGTTAGTGCCATGTGGGTGCTGGAAATCTAATTCGGGTCTTCTGCAAGAGCAGTCAGCATTCTAACTAATGAACCATCTCTCCAGCCCCAAATACTTAATTTTAAACAAATAAAAATGGTATATGGATTAGGATTATAATAATAAAATTTCTTACTAAATTATAATTTATCTTCTAATTAGTTAACTTTTGATGAAATTCTTTATAAATTTATTTAAGAATCATTATGCAACAACCAGGGTGAAATTTTTTATACAATTACCTTGTAATTTTAATATAATTTATAAATATCATTCATGTTATTTTCTTACAAATGCTTACCTACCATAAAAACATCTCTTTGTAAATATATGAATGCATCCATCATTTTTTCGAAAACAGCCCGTTTTAGTTCTTCAGTACTCATCTCTTCATGGTCAAAGGGTTCACCATTATAGAGAGCTTGAGGCAAAGGACCTAAGCCAGTCATCTTATAAAAGCTTGTTCCTGCCTATTCATTAAAAATATCATTGTCAAAGAATATAAGACTGTTGGAAAAAGAAATGTGACAGAAAAAGAAACAGCACCATATTTTTATGTCATAGGAAAAGTTGTCAACTTTTCTATTTGTCTCTGTGCTTCTAACTGGTATGTGAAAAAAGCTCATCTACATACAAGCAGGAGTCAGGAAACTTCTACAAAGGGCTAGATTGTAAATATTTTAGGCTTTGTAAGCCTTTTACCTCTGCTGTAATGACCACTAATATTAATAGTGTAAAAGTCATAGATAACACATGAACAAATGGTCCCAAATACCCCTTGCTTATAAAAACAGCAGTGGTAGCCTTGCTTCTCCTTGATATTGAATATGACATTTCTTCAAAACAAAAACATTTATCTATACTAGAGACTTATTTTATTAATCATTTATTCAACAAACACTTCTTGAATCATGCCACCAGCATTAGGTTAGACATAGTGAAAATGTACCCTAATGTTGTTCTCAAGGGGTTCACTAAATACAAACAAAACAAGGCTCCAAGTGGGTCCATAAAAGCAGCATTTAACTAAACTTGAGTATGCAGAGGAGGGTATAAGAAAACGTGGTGTTAGACAATGACAAGGAAAGCCTTAAGGGATAAATAAAAATTTTGCAGGAAGGTAAAGTGGAGAGAGACATTCCTAGTAAAGATACAGCATAGCAACAACCAGAAGTGAAGTGAGAATATGACACATTTAGACAATGACAAGTAAATATAGGTTGCAATACACAGGGGAATACTGTTAGATAGGGATCAGAGGGATTTAGCCAGAAATCAGATCACAAGAGATTCTTAGCCTTTGGATTTCATCTTATGAATGAAATGTCACTGAACAGTTTATTCATTTGACATTTGATGTTTAGTGTTATGATAATAATTATAATCAACATTCTCACAAGTAGTCCAGGAACCTAAGTATAGGTTAAACGTTTCTTATGTATTTATTATTTTTATTTTATGTATATGAGTATAATACCTACATGTGTGTAACTGTACCCATGTCATGCAATGCCTGAGGAAGTCAGAAGACGGTATTGAATTCCCCTGGGTGTTGGATTCCATTGGATTGGATGGTTGTTAGCCACCACTTGGGTGCTAGGACTTGAACCTGGGTCCTTTCCAAGAGTAGCCAGTGCTCTTAACTGATGAGCCAGTCCAGTCCAGATTAAAAGTTTTCTTATATGAAATATAGAAGTGTTTTAGATTTTGGAGTATTAGCTGACTTTACTAGTTTAGCATCCTTATCTAAAATCTAAATGCTGAATGATGTTCAAAAGGTTTCAGATTTTGAAGCATCTGAGATTTTTAGACTAGGAATATTCAACATATAGTATTATTATATCCATTTTACATATGATGAAACAGATACAGAGTAAATCACTTTTACTGTCAAATTACTAGAATATTTTAAAACTAGAAATTTGTACCCAGAGCTATCTCATCAAGAGTCTGAACTCTTAACCACAGTACTGTACTGTCTACACTTATTTGGCATCTGATACAGAAGAGGTTGATGGATGCATATAAATGATATAGAACTACTATCTTAAAGAAGCTTGTAGTTTATATAGAGAGAGGTGGACAAATTAAAACAAGTAGGAAGATAAAGTACCCAGGGGTACTAATGTTATGGCTAATTCTATCTAAAAGGGGGTTCATGACGAATATTATGGCCTGTGGTGGTTTGAATGAAAATGTCCCCCATAGGCTCCAAGTGTTTGGACATTTTGTCCCTAGATGATGGCCCTATTTTGGGAGGTTTTAGAAGGTGTGGCTATCCTGGAGGAAGCATATTATTGGGGGTGGGCTTACAGAGTTCTTAAGGCTTGCCAGATCTCCAGTCGCCCTCTTGCTTCCTGTGTCTGTGTGATGATGTGAGAGCTTAGGTTCTGCAGCTCCTGCTCCAGCCACCTCCAGCCACCATGCCTCCCTTCCATGATGGACTATAATTCCCCTGGAACCGTAAGCTCAAATAAACTCTTCTTTCTATAAATTGCTTGGGTCAATGTTTCTATCACAGCAACAGAAAAGTGATTAATACATGGTCATATTATTTATTTTAAAAAGAACATGAGCAACAATAGTAAGGAGCCAATACTGGCAATAATGAGTTAGGAGCTACTGCAGTAGAATGAGAAAACAGAAGCAGAACTAGAACAAGAATCAGTGGCAGTGGTTAATGGACAGTATGAGGTACTGTCTTAAATATTCAGTAGGTAGAACTGATACAACTTCATTGGCTGTTTGGGAGGATGTCAAAGAAAAGAAACATTTTAGGATGCCTACCACATTTCTGGCAGAGATGGTCTGCAAGGACAGTGATATTACATCTATACTGTACAACACAGCATGAAGATGGCAAATAGGTTTAGAATAACAATGAAGATGATGGGCTCAGTTTTATAAGTTTTTGATTTAGGATGTTTATGTGCAATCCTTTAGGCAGTTGAATGCATGCTGCTTTTATTTTTCAATTTCTATCTATGTATCTATGTATCTATGTATCTATCTATCTACCTATCATCTATCTATCTACCTATCATTTATCTATCTCTCTCTATCTATCATCTATTCATCCATCTATCCATCTATCTATCATCTATCATTTATCTAACAATCATTTTTTAGTGTGTGTGCAGGTACACGAGTAGGCCAGAGATCAATGTTGGGTTGGGTATCTTTTCCTCAATTGCTTTCACCCCTTTCTTTTAATTTTTTTTCCATGACAGTCTCTCACTGAACCTGAAGCTAATTGATTCGGTTAGACTGGTTGGCCAGTGAGCTTCAGGGCTCTTCATATTGCTCTTCTCCTCACCCCTCCCTCTCTCCAGGCACATGCTGTCATGATCAGCATTAAAAAAATAACATGAGGGGCTAGAGAGATGGCTCAGCTGTTAAAAGTACTGGCTGTTCTTGCAGAGCACCTGAGTTCGAGTCCCAGAACCCACATGGCAGCAAACTATCATTCCTAACTCCAGCTCCATGGGAATCTGATGCTTCTCTGACCTTCATGGGCATTGCATGACATGGGTACACTTACACACATGCAGGCAAAACACTCATACACATAAAAATAATAAATATTTTAAAAAATAACATGAGTTCTGGGATCCTCAGGCTTTTGTAGCAGACACTTTTATTGACTAGCCATTTCCCAGCCCTGAATGCATGAGTGTTGAGCTCAAGAAATATGTCTGTGCTGGAAATAGATGCCTTCTTTACTCCTACTCTACAACTTCCAATTAGGCAACTTATCCATTCCAAAAGCTTAAATTACCACAGATAATACAGTGACATAATTTTATACTTCTAGTCTACATGTCTCTTTTGAGCTATAGAAAAATATGTTCAATTTATTATTTCACATTTCTGGAAGTCTCACAGGTACCTAAAATCCTGGATGTGAAAAACTTATTTCCTAATTCATATTTCTCACTCATTCCCCTGGCAATGGTATCACATCTCTCCTAGCTGCTCAACTGAACCTCAGTAGTTATCTTTGATGATCTTTCATTTCCACTCTACCATGTTCAACAGCAGCATGTCAGGCTGGTACTTATTAAATAACTGAAAAGTGTCTATTTTCTTCTGTTGTCTACACATCTTTTAAAGGCTATTAGCCCACCAAATGTCTCTCTCTTCTCTATGTGCTAATCTGCATCACTCAAACATACTCTTCCAATAATCCATTCTTAACAATGTATATGTACCCCAAATAATATAGATCTTTTCCTTGTCATTATTCCCTAAATAATGTAATAGTTATTAATATAATATTATGCATTACAGTTAATGGAGATATGATTTAAATTTCATAGTGGGATGTGGCATTTTATACTGAGGAGGGACTTACTTACTTTCATTTGTGTAATCGCTGTCTAATTTGCCTTAAACAGTACTTATTGAGAAAAGTATTACTTATCCTTAGCCCACAGAGCATTCTTTTAATTCATTGTGTTGCATTTTTAGTGGGTCCCTTCCCATGAAGAAATCATATCCATCAATTTTGTGAATTCTTTATGCTATTTCTCTTTCTCTTCGGTAATTTCCTTGGCATTACTACTTTTCCCGTTATTCTGAAATCTGGGATGAATCTTTAATTGTTGTATATATTACCACGCATGAACTTTTTGTGGTGAGAACCCTTAAAACTCTTCATTCATAATTTTCAAATATAAAATATATCATTATTAGAGTCATCTTCATGTTTAATGGGTCTCTTGAATTCATTCCTCTGTTCCCACTGAAATTATGCATTCTTTTATCAACATCTCCCCAAGACCTCCCCGACTCCCCAGAGCCTCTGGCAACTAACATGTACTCACTGCAGCTGTGAGCTTTGCAACTTAGATTCCACATATGAGTGCTCTCATATGACATTGTTTTTTTGCCTGTCTTATTTTACTTAACATAATGTCTAAACTTACCTTTCTACTCCCATCATATTTGGAATGAGTTCCCAAAATATCCAAAATGTCAGCATAAGGAAATTTATTCTGAAGAACACTCTTGACATTTTCCACAGTGAGTATATTTTGATCCTTCACTTTTTGGTACATCTGTGGAAATAAAGATCTATTTCTCCTCTTTATAGAAACTGGTTTTCTCAGCACATAATTGTATTTGTAAAATAAGGCATATTTATTTTGTAGTTTGCAAATTATTTTTGTTGCTTTTTGACAAAGGATTTCAGTGTAGCCCAGGCTGGCTTCCAACTCCTTATGTACTGCTTCATATATGTCAGGCAAATACTCTACCAACTGAACTACAATCCCTAGCCCCTATGGTTTTTAAACTTTAAGGGTACTAAATATATATATCTAATATACAAATAAATTATTTTAATCATGTATTCTCCTGTAACAAAATATTTTAAAATACTGTATAGCTTTCAAAACAATGAATTTTTTTATTTATTTTTATTCTATGTGTATGTATGTGTGTATTGCCTGCATGTAGGTGAATGCACCCATAACATGCAATGCCTGCAGAGGTCAGAAGAGGCTGTTGGATCCCCTGGGACTGGAGTTACAGACAGTTGTTAGCTGCCATGTGGGTGGGTACTGGAATTCGAACCCGGGTCTTCTGCAAGCACAACTAGTGTTCTTAACCACTGAGCCATCTCTCCAGCCCCATCAAAACGATGAATATTTTATGTGCTATTGTATTTTAATCAAACTAGACATTAATCTTAAGAAAACTGAAGGAGAGTGCCCCTCAGACCCCCTCGCTGTCCTCTGAGAAAAAGCTGCCCTCTGCCTGATGCTGGAAATCCCCTTCATTGTTCAAACCCTTTCCTGGTACATCTGTTTATGGTTTCTATGGAGATGGTCTGGGGCAGAAGAGGAAGAACGTTCTGCCCCAGGTAAGGTAGCCAATGGCTGTATAGGTTAAGGCTCTGGAAATCAGCACTAGATTGTTCAAATCCTTTCCTGCTTCTTCTGTTTATGGTTTCTATAGAAATCCCCAGCTCTGCGGTTTTTGTGCTTAAAAGCCCTGTGTTTCCATGGCTCTGGGTCACAGTGCAGCTCCCGAGCCTGCCTGCATCCCCGGCCAGTTGATTTCAATAAAGCAGTGAAGTTCTCCTGAGTCTCAGTGTCTGAGCAGTCAATTCAGGGAATTTTTTGGACCCCAAACAAAATAATGCTTTTTTCTTAAAAACATGCATGTAAAGTATTTTTAAAAGACATTTCAGAAATGCTTCATTTTTATTTCTGACTGCTCTTTGATAAATCTTTTGACTAAATATTTTCTGTATCTTGTCTTCTCACATGCTCAAATGTTTTAAACACATTTGTAGAATATACATTGTCACCTCTCATTTTTTTCTCATCTCTCTCCTTTGTAATGTTGGGTGGAATAGGCATGTGTGTGCATGTGTCTTTGCAAATGTGCTTGCTGGAGCATGACTTGGAGTATCTTCCTCTCTCACTCTCCAACTTATTTCCTGGGGTGGGGCAGGGTCTAACACTGAACTTGGATTTCACTGTTTTGGCAAGGCTGGCTGGTCAGAGAGGCCCTAGGATCCTCTATCTCCCCCTGCCCCCTGCCCTAATCAATGGGGCTAGAGGTATGCCCTTCCACATCTGGCTTTTTTTTTTTTTTTCTTCTGTCTTTTTGAGACAGGTCTCCCTGTAGCCCCAGCTGTCCTGGAACTCACTATATAGACCAGGCTGGCCTCAAACTCACAGAGATCTGCCTGCCTCTGCCTCCCAAATGCTAGGATTAAAGGCATGTGCCACCACCCCTGACCTATATCTGGCTTTTATGTAGGTGCTAGGGCTCTGAACTCATCAGGTCCTCCCACTTGTGAAACAAGTACTTTATCCACTAATTCATGTCCCTAGCCCTTGTCTTTTCTTCCTTTAATAAGTAGCTACAGATCCTATATTATGACTCAGGTGCTGCTCTAGGAATAAAAAAAGAACACTAGTTTTTCACCAGGAGACAAGGCAAATCCAAGGTCATATATAAATAAGAACACTAAGCAAGTATTGAAGATACTCTGGGGAAAGAAGAAGTTGTAAATATAAACATGATTAGGTAGAATTCTGATAGATCAAATAAGAATATTCATTTTGTCCTAATTAATTCACATCATTATAATCATATGCCATGTTCATATAATGGCTGTCAAGATCCCTATATTATATTCCTATTAAATAATTTAGTACCCTTTTAACTCCTTTTATCACTGCAAACTTTGTAATCTATGCATCAATATGTGACATGCCTGCGATTATACTGAAGGGTTCAATTTTACAAGTGCTTCAATTTAGGGACACATTTTCTCTTTAAAATAGAGCACTATGACATAATAATGAAAAACAAAAATAAAACATATGGTCTTATGTTTAAACACAGAGTTTACAAAAACAAGGCTTGAAATAAAGTCAAAGTTATATTTGAAGTCCCTAGGATTTATGATAAAAATTCTATGTTGGCATATAGCGCAGCTCTCGGCGACCGCGCGCCGGGACTCCCTAAGCCAGATTCACCCCTCCATCACCGCCCCCCCTCGCCGTTCTATACTCCTAGTTTGAGCCCTGCGCCATTCCTAGTCTTGGGGCCCCAGACACCTGGGGAACCAATACTGCTTTCTGACCCTTCTTACCCAGAGAAACTCAGTCCCTTTCTTGACCTGCTACCGCGCGCCGGGACCCCCTAAGCCAGATGCACCCCTCCATCACCGCCCCCCCTCGCCGTTCTATACTCCTAGTTTGAGCCCTGCGCCATTCCTAGTCTTGGGGCCCCAGACACCTGGGGAACCAATACTGCTTTCTGACCCT